GGCGTTCGAAATGTTTGGATGCCCGTCTGATAATTTCTCCTCTGACTCTTGCCGCTCGCATCAGGTGGATCAGATCTTCCTTGGCGGGTGTCCAACACCTCGATGTAGTTTCAGCACCATCTTCTTCTCTTCGGGAGTTGGCTCATAACGTCATGATGAGGGCTGGCTTCTTGTTCAAACCGACGTTGACCCTCATTCCAAAGCAGCACATATGACATTCCACCTGAACATCGGGGAGCTGTTGCACTTCTTTCACCTCAGGCTCTAACCATGACTTGGCTCCTTTGGGCTGCTCATACGTGAACCACTTGCATTGCTATTTGGCCACTAGCATAGAGATCCTCATGTGGCGCAGTCCTTCGGCCACTATCACCATGAGCTTTGCAATGCTCATGCGGGCGTAGTTCACATTCTGCATGGGAGTGAATGCAATGCAGGGTGGACACAGAACCACCAGATCTGGTTGTTCCGTCTGGAGTCTCCTCCACATCTCTTGTACACGACCTCTGTCTCGGAGGTCCCAACCGGTGCAAGAGCGCACATGCCCTTGTTCTTCGCTAGCTCACATATTATTACTGGGAGGAGAGTACACTTCTGCGACTTGGGCGCGTTGTCGACTCTTTGTGGCAATCTTTTCAAGATCGGCCATATAAGCATCTTCTTTGTCTTGCGAGACAGAGCTTTCTCCTTCGTGATGTCGTCCACCTGCTCATTCAAAATGAATCTCTCATTGTAGCCCGCACTCTTACCATATAGTTTCCACTGAGGTCGATCTTGCCATAGCGCTCCTCCCAGACCTGGTATTCTTGGTTCCACATCTGATAGCGCTCTTCAGTGACAAAGAAACCTTTGCAGGCCTGTGGAGGCATCATAGCATTCAATCTCTTCTTTGCGTTCTTGCTGGAGGCAGTCAGCCAGCCTGCATGCTCTTCTCTCACGTCTCCCCAAGACTCTTCGTTCACAGCTCTCCACTCTCTCCGTCCGGAATCTGAATCATCTCGCCGCTTCCGGTGCGCGAGATTGGTTGGGATGGGACCCTGCGAGCGTCCCGGCGTGTCTGTTGAGGTTGTCCTTGGGCTCTTGGACGTCCTTCGGGTTCTCGGAACTGATCATGCTGAAGAACTCCACTGACATCGCATCGCTGGTCTCTCTGTTCTCCCACAGGAAGAAATCGCACTCCCTCTGGACGCACTTCCAGAACCTGTGGCCTTTCCAGGGTCCTTTGTTCTTGACTTCCAACCTCTGCGCCGGTGCATTGCTGGCACCTTCTGGACTCCTGGAGTGAGACTGATCGGAGAGCTTTGCAGCAGACCCGTTTGCTCCTCGGCCTTCTGAAGTGCGTTCACCAGAGCTTGTTGGCGAATATCTTTCTGTCTCAACTCGAACTGCTGTGCTTGGATCTCCTTCTGCATGAACTCCATTCTCCGCTCCAGCTCCATCTTGTCGATCTCTCCTTTGATCTTGGTTGGCGCAGACTGGAGTGGTAGGAGCTGATGCACTCGTGTCCTTGGCAACTTGGCTCAAGTGGCCCGTCATCTTCTTCTTGTCCTCCTTGAGGCTGTTCTTGATCTCGGAAGCTCTCAAAGTGCTCTGCCATCGGCTGTGACACTGCTTGCAGACGATGTACGAACTCGCCTGGTTGCCTCCACCTTTGAGAGAGCTCTTCGGGTGGACGCAGCTGCTTGCAGAGACCCTGGGCGCCTCCTTGGATTTCAAAGGATCCAAACGCTTGGCGTGCGCGATCATCTGAGCGCACGTATCCTCCAAGGTTTCCTCTTCTGCCGAAGGCTGCGAGGGCAAGGCAACAGGCAAGTCGGGGAACCACTCTTGCACGATAGCCTAGTGGCCTAGTGTTCTACCAACACCATCATAGTGAAGATCTTGTCCATCAGCGCCCTCCAATTCTTGACTGCGACCTTGGCTCGATTTCCAGCTGGCATCTTGTTCTTGTCTCCGGCCTTGGAAGGCGCCGGAGTTCCCTGAGCCAACTTTTGAAGTCTTCCCATCATCGAGGCCATGAGCACAGAAGGACGAACTCACGAACTGACACTTGGAGGGGCTTTGTTGCGAATTGGTAGCTCTCGAGCGAGCTGTCATGATTCCGAAAAATCGCATGGGCTCAATCCTCTCTCACGAAGTTCATTCAGCATCTCAGAACCACCTATGTGAAAATGCAACACATCGACGACCACGTGGCCACAGGACAACTCACGCATGGGAATGACCGTCTGACGCAACTCGCTTTAAAGGTGTACTTCCGAAAATCCAAAACAACTCTCAAGTGCTTCAGCAATTGAACAGGCAGCAAAAGGGGGACTTCCCCTTCAACGACCGTGCACTCTAACCCCGTTCTCGCCGCCCAGACCGATTGGAAGCAATGCGACTCCCAGCACCGCAGCACTACCACCAACTCCTTTTGCTGAAGATTGTTTTTGGGTCCAGACTATTTTCAAACCACGATGTGAAAGAGCATGACAAAACCTCTTCAATGCTATCGAACCAATCAGTCCACCCTCTGCGGCTGTGTCAACAACTCCTTCATGAGAGCTGGTGGTAATACCACAAAAGGTGCTTTTGCCAGTCACCTCGAGATGAGGCAAGAAAAAGTCTTTCAACCTTTGCATCACATTTCGAACACCATCTTCGCAAGCTATATGTCCTCGAAGGACATCTCTTCGAGCGCTAGCTTAGCCAGTCCAGTCATGGACCGAAGCAGCTTCGCGCCTCTCTTGTTGCGGGGAACCCCAGTCTCGAATTCCCACAGCCTCACACTCTTCTCACAGCTCTTGAACGTGGCCTCTGGGTCAGCGCCATCGTAACTGGCTGGGGGATCCCTATCCCGGTAGTGACTCCCTTCTGCACTTCCAGGTTCACCAACCGTCGTGGCCGCCTCTCCATCTGCAGCTTCACTGGTTCTCCCGGCCATGATGTTCCCAAGCTCCGCGGTACCACTGTTGCACCGCACGATCAACGGGCTCAAACACATGAAGGGTTTTCCATCAAAAGCAAACAGTCGGGGTCGTACGGGCCACTAGGACAAACCGAAAGGTTCCGCGGAGCTCAGGTCAAAGCATGGTTCGCGAACGAAAAACATTTGACAGAAGCTTTAAAGTATATAGGCTAGGTATCGTTTTTTGGAACTGCTATCGTTTTTCAATCCGTTGTCTGTTGCTTAGTTTTTTGGGGAGGTGTCGTCTGCATGTAAGGTCAACAAACTGTGCAATTCGTATTTGCCAAGGTTTGCAGTGGGTTTGCGAATGATGGTCGGGAGTCAACCGTGAGCCGGGAAGAAACACAATTGGCTGATTGCAAGTTCCCACAGTCGGAAGTCAGAACCATGCAAGTTGGCAGCTGGCTTCCCGAGGCATCCAGACATACAGCGCACCGTCATTTTCGGCATCGTTTTCTCTACTGCGCCGTGTAAGCAGGAAAAACAAAGGTATCATTATAATCTATCTAGGTTCTACATACGGTGAAGAGGCTACACAGCGATAATCGACATGACGCCAAGATGTGTACAGTCATAAGGCTAGGTATCGGTCTTGGGATTGAATTTTTTCAGCCGAAAATGAAAACTTCCATGTTTTCTGTGGATACGAGCTCTGACCTCAGACTCTTGTGGGGCATTCTTGCAATGCACTCTTGCGAGCACGCCATCTTAGTGAGGCATCAAGACTTCGAAGCAAGCAGATGTCTCCCAAAAGTCACGTCAAGTCATTTCCTACGAGACGTCCTTCAAAAGTGACGCGTCAAGTCTTCAAAACGAGCAGTTCGATCGAAGGAGCTTCCTCCAAAA